TGCTGAAGGTTAGAAAGAGCAGTGCCCCATCCATTATCTTTTTGCCTCCCAACAGCAGCAAAAGCACGAGCCTGGCCCTGGAGTGCTTTCCCAAGCCATGCTCCTTTCAGCCTGAAGAAACATAGCGCTGACTACTTCTCCTTAGGGTGGGAATACTTGAGTTTTACTTCTGCTGCCAAAACGCCTTGAGCCAGCTCAGCTGCTTTTCTGTAGTGAGTAACTACACAAATATCTAGCAAGAAAAGAACACTAACTTTTTGAAATTATTCGTGAATCACAGTATGAAACCGTGTGCAAAGTAAAGGAAGCTCAGTCATTCCTGGGATCACAAGTTGTTATTTGTCTGACTATTTTTTTCTTTTTAATCCAATTTAATAAAACTATTTTCAGATCTTTTGGAGGTTACATGAGGTAAAACTTGACTGGATAAACCAAAAGTCTTTTTTTGTTCGCCCTTGTTCTTTCAAACCACTGCAAAGCAAGTACGAAATCTCTGCTGTTCTGATTTGGTACTGTTGGCTTTTTATGCCAAATTCTCAGTCACTAAATTGCAGCTACACACAGGGCACAGCACCAGTGAATCAAGCCCAGAAGTATTTAAGGTTCCAAAATAACCATGTGCTTGGATGTTGTGAACAAAATGCATTGGCATTTATTTACCTACCCTTCCTGGTACAATGTTTGATTAAAATCTGGTTAGTGAGGCAGTCTAGGAAAATTTCTCTTGCTATAAGCAGCTCTTGATGCTAACTGTTCCTCTTAATAAATCACTTTAGGTGGTAATTTAACAAATGCTTATGAATGCTGGATTTCAAAATGAAGTATGTCAAAGACAGAAGAAAAAATACCAGCTTTTCAGCTAGCCACCGAGTAGACTTACAAGCAGCTGGGTCACAGTAATGAGATGCTGACATATGCACTGACTTGGCAGGTACAGTCGGGAATGGATTGGGAAAAAACCAAGAATTCCTACTTTTGCTTGTGAATTTAATTCTTCAGTTGTTAAAATAATGCAATTTATTGCATTTTTAAATAAAATATTTAGTCCTGCTCAGCACATAGCATACATAAAAAAACTCCATCTTGGAAACTAAACTGCTGGTAGCATGTGAAGGTTTGCAGAGGTGAAGATGCACTTTTTCTCAGTAGCTACACTTTCAGTTGCTTTACTGTCCATTCAGACTTTAAGTGCTGTTGCTGTAGATACTCTGCAGCTGTGAAATTCTGTAACTGAACTATCTGAATGTTGAAAGGTATATACAGCTACCTGTATTTTTCCCTGCTTACCAGGGAATACACATTTCATACTATGTATAAGGGTAGGCAGTCTGAGAATTCACCTGTGTTGAAAAATAACACAGCAAATTTTAATACGTGTCATCCCTCACAGTAGCTTTTTAAAAATGATAATGGTGTTTTTCTCTTAAGGGAGAGGGGAGATTCCCCAGTTGAAAGATTGCCCAGCTGTTGCACTACATAGTTTAGTGGGCATGGTTGTGTTGGGTTGACAGTAGGACTTGATTATCTTGGAGGTCTTTTCCAACCATAATGATTCTATGATTCTTTTAGAAGCAGCTGACATGTCTTCTGATAATACCCCTATCAAGTCTCAATTTGCCTTAACTCTTTTGATGTTTTAGCCCCTTTATACTGCAAATGGAGCGATTGAAGACATTCTGTTGTCTTAAGCTGGTCTAAATTCTCTTGCTTACCCTCTTTTCATGTTGGTTGGTGGATTTTTATTTTTTTTTAATCATAAAGTTGAGATTTGTATGTACATTGTGTTCCCAAACCTCACTTTCCCCTTATCTACGATGCAACTGCACGGCTCTTGTTCTGAAATACAAACAAGAGTTCAGGCTTACTAGTTTTGCAGAGTACTGTCACTCTAGGATTGAAGCAAATGAATAAACCATAGTCTTTATTTACTGTTGCTCTGCTCTACTGGCTAAGCACGCTTTATATGTAATTGTTTCAGTTAGCGCTGAAAAAAACTGTTGGCATAAAGAATACTGTTTGCTTGTTAATATTGAAAAGTTGTCAGTATGTGGATTTTTAATAAAAGCCTGTTGCAGATTACAAAGAATGAAAAAGAGAAAGAAAGAAAGTGGGGATGTAATAAGCCACAAAGTTTGTTTTAATGATAAACAAAATTCTGCTTGCCAATTTTATCTGAAGAACAAGTTGTTAGTCTGATTGTGGTTGTTAATTATTAACAGTGATTATATGGATTTTTATCTTAAGATCAGTTGATACCTTTTCTCTTCCAGAGCTTCTTTAGAAAGTAACTTTCTTCTCTGGCATCTCAACTGAAACTCTTCTGGGTTAGTGGTAGTAACTTGAAGCTGCAGCTGTAGGGTTTGAGGAGGCTACAGGACTCTGAGATACTGGTGCAAGTGTTTCTGAAATCCCTTGCTACTTCCAACTGTAGGATAGCTGGTTTTTATCTGAAAACACAGAATTTCGGGGGTCCTCAAGCTAAACCCTCCTTACAAACCTGTCGTGCAGTAGTCATTGCTCAGAGAACTGTAGGTTCCCAGACAGCGAGGAGGGAACAGTGTTAGTGACCCAGCTGGTGTGAACCCGGCAGGCAGGCTTGCTGAAACTCGGGGTGGGATGTAGTTTGATCCTAGCTTGTCCCTAGAGATTGAGGAGAAGGGAAGAAAGTCTCCAGCCTGCCACTTGGTTGGTTTCAAAGTGCAATGAAGTACTGCTTAAGATTATTGCTTTTAGTGTATGAAACTGAGGTTAGCAAAGGAAGGCAGATGGATTAATGACAGGGCCACTATGTGTTTTCCCCCTTGCCAGGCCCCACA